AAATCTCTATAGAAATTTGCAAAGCCTATAAAACTACGAATCCCTTTCGTGCTTACTGGTGCTTGCCAACTAGTAATAGCCTTTACTTTCTCAGGATCGACCTTGATTCCTTCTCCTAAGCATACGATAAAGCCAAGGTATTTTGTCTGCTTAACTGCAAATTCACTTTTTTGGGGGTCCATTTTAAGACCTGCGAGTCCGAGCCTTTTTAGGATCATGTTCACTTTGCTCCAATGATCTACGACGTCTCCAGTCGTATAAATGAGGACATCATCAAGATATGCTGAGCAAAAGTCACCTAGAAATTCTCCTAAGACACTATTAATGTATCTTTGGAAGGCGCTTGGAGCACCTGTTAGGCCAAATGGTGTAACTAGCCATTCGAATGAGCCAAAGCGCGTGCGAAATACTGTTTTTTTTTCATCTCCCTCACGCACTCTTAGCTTGTGAAATGCGGCGCGTACATCTACCTTTGAAACCCAGGTCGCTTTCGTTAACTGCCGTAGAGTTTCTTTTATCAGTGGGATCGGGTACCTATCTTTTACTGTGATTGAATTTAGTGCTCGATAGTCCACACAAAATCGTAGTCCCCCGCCGGATTTCTTTGCAAACAAGACTGGGGCTCCACCGGATGAAGAGCTAGCCCGGATCCAATTTCGATCAAGATGATCTGTCAACGTTTTCCTGAGCACAAGTAGCTCTGCTCTTGACATATCGTACAAAGGGCCAAACGGAATTTCCTTTTCCCTGCCCTGTTCATCCTTAATCAATTCGATCTTAGTGTCTACGCCAGGTCGGTGCGGTGGTAGCTCATGATTCTCGTCCTCGGTAAAGTACTGAGCGTTGTCACGAACTTCTGGTGGTAAACCAGCCTTAATTTCATCAGGTGTCTGTTTTCTTTTAGTCTCAAGAGCCTTATTTATATCGAACATTGATGCTGCAAACAATTTCGTTTCTTGATCCTTTTTACCACGTACTCTCGTTGCTATTGCCGCGAATTGGGAACCAAGAACCTGGTGAGCACTTCCTAATTTTACTTTGAGATAATTTATCTTCGCTTTACTGCTTTGGCTCATCCGATCTTCCCACCCTTTAGCTTTCACAATGAGACCACCTTTCGAACCAAAACGAATAGCGCGTCGGCGAGCATCGTAAACCACGGCATTGGCTCTCATCCATGGGTCACCTAAAATCATATCATAAGATAAATCCTCGATGACGTACCCATAGATTTTTTCGCGCCTGCCATCTATGTCTGTGTCTACGTAAGTAAGTTTATTTATGACCTTCCGCTGGGAATCTTTTTTTGCGAGTCTCAATTCCCTGGTTTTAATAGATATTTGCGGTAACTTGTGGCGTTTGACAAACGAGTGACTGAAAGCAGCATAGCATAAACATCCCGTGTCCATTAGAGCATCAACATAAAAGCATTTATTGAGCATTATCTCTAATAAAAACGGAGAGCTATCCAAATTCTTTACAATTACACTTAAATTGTCAACCAAAGATTTAGTCACCCCCTGAGCCCGACTTTGCCCAGGGTTTACTCGTTTCCCGAAACGTTATTTCCAAATTCATCTTCATCCTCGTCTGATTCTATCAATCTGGACTTAGAATTCTTTGGTATTTTAGTGAAGACCGCATTCATATCAGAAGGTCTCTTGGCCCATGTAAAATTAGGACATTTCTTGAAGTAGTGACCCTTCTCTTCACAGCGAGTGCATTTACCCGCAGCACGGAGGGCAGCAAACTCTTCTGGTGTTTTCCACGGAGCAGGTGGCTTGTTCCTGATAGCTTTGCTCTTTTCACTGTTTTTAGAGTTGACAGCATTTATTATTGCTGCAAGTTGACAAGTGCTTAGTCCACTTACCCCTGACATTGGGGTGTCGCCATCCGTGTCCACGGTAGTTGCTCTATCCTGTGATGGTGAATGTGCTGGTGCTTGGTAATTGAAGCCAGGATTATGAGGGACGACACCCAGTCTGCTAATATACCATGTCTTTGTTTGTCTAGGGCCATGCTTAGGTATATAATCCTCCTGTGATTCGAGCTTACTAGCCATATTTCGCACCTGTCGAACAAAAAGAGTATAGTTAGTCTCAGAGAGAGTACATGGCATCAAAAGCTTCGTTAGACTCTCGTTTAATCCAAGACTGAGGCCATTTATCTTCATATAGCCTTCCCAGTTGATACCTCTCGCTTGCGTTAGCATGTGCTCAAAATCGTTTAAATACGAGGCGAAAGTCTGATGTTTTCCTTGCCTCATCCTTGATAATTTCTCATTAGCAGTCCGAACTGACGTTTTGTCTTCGAAATTGTCATTAAAATGTTCTAAGTAGAGTTCATAGTCCCAATTGTTGTCTGGTCCTCCTGTTGTGTACCAGTGAGAGACACGACTTCGGAGATTCTTGGGGATGGTATTCATCATGTCCATGCACACCGCTTTGTGGCCTCCCAACAGGTCCCAGTCTGCTTCAATTTTCGCTGTAAGCTGAATTATGTATGTCGGGTACATCTCTCTAGAACCGTCCCATTCTGGCCAACTTGACGCTTTTTTCTTGTCAGTGTGTGGATTAGGTCGTAAAGTCTTTCCCTGATTGACGTCACTTGTGTCAATTATTGCCAATAGCCGTTGTAGCTGATCACTATTCAGGGATAGCGTGACATTTGTTGTTTGCTGTGAAACGAATTGATTAGCCCTGCCCTTGCCCTTGCCATTGTCAGGAGCATCTGTGTCCATATTATCCGTCATATTTTCTTCAACGGATTTAGCGATTAGTGGGAATGCGTCAGATGAGGAAAGCGAATAAAAATCTTGGGTCGTAACTGATTCGTTGTCCGATAAAGATGGTTCTGGAGAGGGAACTTGATAAGAGCGTGTATTCATGCAATTTAAAAACCGGACAGCTAGGAGAGGTATAAGCCAATACTTGCACTAGTTGTGTAAAGAAGAGATAGAAAATATGTAAAAGAACGGTACGCTAGCTTCTCGCAATCGTATGTTAAAAATGAGTTTATTTTCTATCTAGAGAGGAAAGTCGAAGCTACGAAAGGATTTGGCTAATATGAACATTACGCGACGCGTCACTTGTGAGACTTTACTAAGCAGGGTCGAGGCTTTTCCCAAAATAGGTACAACGCCTATTCGGAGCCGGATAAACTCCGGTTCCAGATAAACGAGGCCACAGCCTGTAACAATCTTTTCGAGTACGTTACCTGTTGGCCCACTTTTCTCTGATATCGTGTCATGGATAGAAAGCTGCATTCGCAATTAAAATTTTATACAAAAATAAAACTGATAACGTATGCTAGGTTTCGTCCCCTACCCTGATCACATGTTGTGATGGGGCATGTTGTTTGTTCATTAGCACGCTAGGTAAAGTGATTCCCGTTGCACTCCTACTGGAGCTTAAGCACGGGTGGGGCCAGGCTGGATAAGGTTAACTACCAGTTAGTTCATCTATCTCGTCCGACCTGAATGACCAGACCACCTCAGATTTTACCCTTGTGTTGAATCGTGTCAAGCCCAACAGTTCAGAATGTCACAGATCAACTGTAGATAGTAAGGAGCACTTACATGGTCGATGGTATTTTATAATTCAACCGTCTAGAGATAATTTTTAAATGCTAATCCAGATATATATAGATTTATTACATTTCAAGTTCTTCCCTCTAAGGTCAGCTCACTTCTAGATAATTCCACTTGCTACTCTAAGGGTATCATTTCTAGCAGCTTCGCCAAGGTCCTGTCTCGGTATTTATCGTATGGAGACTTTTCTAGTCTCTTTTACGGAGCTTTTGCGCCTACCCAATCTCTGGTGATTGTACGCCTGTACTTGCCAATACTGGCATTACAGCTGTTACACAGAGAACCCTCTTTTGACGCGCCGGAGCCCTCGTTACCTTCGCGATCTCTAACTTTTCCCTTCCATTCAGTCACAGCTTTGGCTCATCTCAGTATCTCCTCATCATCCATGCGTCGTTTTCTTCGTTAGAGGCCTCATCCAGTCGCCCACCAAGGTCTCCTCAGTTTGTATTCCTTTCTGTTCCTTCATGTAGCATCTCTCTATCCTTCAGCCGATCTCGTCATCCCAGAAACTTTGTAGAATGTTCACCCTCCGGCCTTGCCCCGTCGCTGCCGTAACCCTAACCGTGGAAGTCTAAAACGCGACTGAGAACTCAAGACCGAGACACCGGTGCCCCAGCCTTTGTCGAACGCTCTAGTTGGTGTGCCGGCAAAATGTCGTACTTATTTCGTCAGTGGCGATTCGTCGCAATTCGAATTGTTGGTGCCCTTGGCCGAGGTGAGGACGAATTTAAGACCAGTATTTCGACCGTAACTTCACAGCGACTGGCAGATGCCGGGGGTCGGACATCTTCTTGCTTCTTTGTTGTCAATTTGACTTTTGGAGGTATGGGATTGCTTCGGTAGGTGGTGAGATGATTGTGGAGAGGGCCGCGAGATAAGTTTGGCTGGGAATGATTCCCCCGAGAAGAAAAAAATAGATCTTGAAGATGTCGGTTGCTTTAATATGAAGATCAGACAGGTTATAGCCTGACTGCGGTTCGTATCTGGGGCGTAGATGGTTGATTTCGTTGAGTTGTGCAGTTGTGAAATCTCTGCAAGTCGGATTTTCGATCAAAGATGACCCAGCACCACTCCTTCCGATTGCCAACTCGACGAAAAATCTCAAATTCACCCTTTGTCGTGACTGAATCTCGGCACTGGGAGAATATATTACTCTCAAGTTAATAGAGGACGCCATTGATAGGTGTTCGGCCTTTGTCTTCCGTCATATGGTGTATGAACGTCAGGGATGCCAAATAGTCTAAGCCTAATTTGTTTTGGCGGATACATCAAAAACGATCACTGCAACAAATCAATCACCACGATCACATCCTTGCAGTGCGCTCGACCAATACAATTACTATCCATTAGTACATATTGTCACTACCAAGGGCATTGAGATTAGTCGGACGCTCGTTCGTTTAACTTCGGCATGACCACTGCAAATACTTCAGTAAGATGTCTGGAGGTTAAAATTCGCCCCTATTCGGGACAAAATATTCATGAACGACCCGATCAGAGAGGAGTAGCGCGTGTTCACCTCTGCAAAGAAGCCTTGTCTGATCTTAATTTGGTATCTGGACAAGTGTGCTATGTTCGAAAATGTAACGAGTGTGATGATCAGAGACGGGAAGCTATTGTCTGGCTTACCTCGGAAAAATCTTTGAGCAAAAAAGTTATTCAAGTGTCGAAGACTTTTCAAGAAGTTTGTGGATTTAAATTAGGAGATGATCTTTGGATACAGGCAGCTGGTAACCTGATCACGGCAGAATCAGTGACTTTAAAGGACATTACACCAGCGGAGAGCGAACTAGGGGATGAAGAAAGGCCTCATTGGGAATGGTATATCCAAGAAAATCTAAGTAAGAAATTATTTTCTATGATTCTATCTTCTCGTATTTAATGCATGAATATGTATCATTAAGGATGTAACGAATTATCTAAAATATCAGGCCTACTGAAAAGGCTTGATTTGGAACTGACTTTTTCAAGTTAGTGTCATTCTAAGTAGATGACAGTAAAAGATTCCGGCATCGCTCCGGCAGTACGATGACAGCAGTACCGACTTATCGTACAATTTTTAACAATTCTCTATAGCAAAAATGAGATAACTGACACATTATAGCGCGTGCGGAGGTCATATTCCCCGGCATGACATTTAAGGGGTTATCTCTTCGCGGACCCAAAAGGACATTGAGAATAGAACTTATTAATGGTAGCTCCTCAAATATCGCAAAGTACGAGGGAGCTTCTTGCTCTATCAAAATTTCTACTAGTAATGAAGGTATTTGCCCAACAACCACCACATCTTATCGATGCCTCGAAGTCCTCGATGTCGCTGGAATTGACCAAGCCTTATCAAAACTGAATCGTTTTCTAAAAACATTCAGTAAGCGATACAAAATAACGTGGAACAAAGGATCTTTCCAGAGATCTTGCGCTGTTCTTTTGCACGGTGGTCATGGTACAGGGAAAACCTATATTATCAATAAAATTATTGATTCTAAGTGGGCAAGACAGGTTTTTCGAATTGAGATAGATGCAAAACCCTCCACCATTCGTGCTACGTTCAAAGAGGCAAAGCTTGCTCAACCAAGTATTATTGTCATTGATGAACTTGAATCATTGGTATCAAGCGATGATACTGCTTCTCGTATACTGGCGAGAGTTCTTGGAGAGGAACTTGACACTCTATCCCAAATATTGACAAATAATGTTCTGCCCCAAATATTAGTCGTAGCAGCAACCATCCACGTTAGCAGCATACCCATCACACTTCGAAAAAGGGGACGCTTTCATACAGATGTTATGTTATCAGTCCCTGATGCTCCATCTCGAAAGGCAATTCTTAAGTCTTTGGCCCCCCCTCTTCCACCTACAATTAACGACGAGGTACTCGATAGACTCGGCGAGCGCACTCATGCATACACAGCCGAAGATCTTGTATCTTTGCTACACACTGCTCTCGATATTGCTGAAGAAAGAGTTGATAAATTCGAGAATTTAACAGAAGATGACTACCTTCTTTCGCGAAGTGATATCGAGAAAGCCCTTCAACAAATAAGGCCTACTGCAATGTACGAGATTAGTCTAAAACCACCAAGCGTGAGGTGGGATGAGATAGGTGGTCAGGAAAATGTCATGAAGGCACTTCGCCGAGCTGTCGAAACCCCCCTTCTGGCAAGTCATGTGGTGACCAATCTTATTTGATGTATCTAGTTCTAACCTAAGCATAGTATCCCGAAACTATGAAACGAGTTGGGGCCTCGGCAAAAAAGGGCCTTCTACTCTATGGTCCACCAGGCTGTTCCAAAACCCTCTGTGCACAAGCAATGGCCACTGAAACAGGCCTGAATTTTTTCGCCGTCAAGGGAGCAGAGCCACTCAACATGTACGTGGGAGAGTCCGAACGAGCTATACGTGATGTATTTGCGCGAGCGCGTGCCGCAAGTCCAAGTATAATCTTCTTTGACGAGATTGAATCGATTGGGAGTAAACGAGAAAAGTCAGGCCGCAATACTGGGATTAATGTCTTGACAACTTTACTAAATGAGATGGATGGAATCGAAACTCTAAAAGGGGTTATAGTTATAGCAGCAACAAATCAACCAGAAGCATTAGACTTGGCACTGCTTCGACCTGGTCGCTTTGATCAGCTTTTATACGTTGCACCACCCGACTTGGCGGGACGTGGAGAAATTCTGCGCGTACGAAAGCGACTTATGGATCTAGCAGATGATGTAGATCTTTTAGAGATCGCTCGATTGACTGAGGGCTACTCAGGAGCCGAGTTAGTCTCTATCTGCCAGATAGCGTGTGAAAATGTGGTAGAAGAATGTATCAAGACCGGTAATATATTGCAGGTACACATGAACGACTTCCTTGCGGCCATTAAGTTGGTAAAAAAGCAGCTAACGCCTGAGCTGATTACTAGGTATGAGCGATGGGCTTCAGGGACTCGCTGAAATGATTATCTGAGCGTCAAAAGTTAATAACACCTCAGCCACTGCTGCTGTTTGTGTAGCCTGAATCTAGTGATCTCTACTATGTTGGATAAAGGAGAGTAACTACAACAGAAAATTCAGTACTACGCAGAAAAAGGTAACCGGCTATTGCAACTAGCAATCCTCCAGAATATTGTTGGATTTACCTTCAAATTTACTGTTGCGGGTAGCGACAGTTTCTCTACTTAAGATATAGAGAGAACTGTAAAAAACGACATTTTTATCCTCACTTGATTTACATAACCTAGGTGTAAACTATTCCAATTCACCTAAGACTCAAACTTTTTCTCATAATACCCAATCAGCACCTAAGAAAGGCAGTGCGAGAGGATGATGCTCACCAATCATAACTTTTAAAGTCCTTCTAATAAATACGGCTAAGTGTGGCATAGCTCCAGGCATAGAAGCGTCGAAACTTTCACAGTAAAAAACCACAACTTGCAGGCTCAATTGTAATAAGCCAATGCTTGCTCGTTTCAAAGCTTCATCAAACATTTTATTGATTGTTCTCTCGATCCGATAAAACATATACTCAAGATTGCAGGTGAATTTATATAGAAAACCTACGCCCTACAAACATCTATAGTTCAACTGAATACATTATGTGCAGCTGCCCTATTCAGTTCGAAGCGATTTGAGGCGCGGCAGCATAGCAATTTGGGTTTGAACTAAGTGTCATGTACATATCTTGGATACTGTTTAATTAATCCCTTTAACGATGAAGCAATAAGCCGAGGTTCGAAATATTTGATGGAACCTTATTGAGTAGAAGCTAAGGCTATTACTTACACGTTAAAACTGCTTACACAACATCAGGCGTGTATAAAACCTCTGGCAAGTCTCAAGCGGAAAACAAAATGAAAAACTGAAGAGTTCTAAAATACTTGCAAATATCGTTTGAATAGAAAAAATAAATATAAATAATTTGAGAAGATACTCGATCACAGATAAATAATTGCTCAAATACCATTTTGGTTTGTTTTGAATTCATTATCCCTATTTGGCGCCTTATGGGCCCATGCAGGTGGCTATAAACCTATCGATATATTTATGTAGGAGGAAACCTCTCGGTTAAAGCCCTCCAAGCTTTCTGATTTTATTCTTAGAGTTTGCAATTTACCCGTCAGGAAGTACAGTTACACTGTCACGCCGTCGATGTGTACCAATCACGTCCCTTCTATCGACCCCAACCTTCTACATGTTCCGTCTCGTTCCCTGAGCAGCATTTCGACTGCATTTATCATGCGGAATTGTTCTATCCAACCATGATTAAGGATCTATAGTGTGATTCTTTTCATATCGCTAGGATTGTTGATCATTGCTTCAAAGGAGCGATTTCGGGCCCGTCTCCAGATTTCACCACTACCAATTGACCACTTAGGGCAGGACATGATCATGTGCTTGGGATTTTGTGATTGGTAGCCACATGGACAACTTGGGTGATAAACTCCTAGTACTTTTCTTCTGTGTAAATAATAATTGAGCCCGATATGCTCGCTTCGAATTTGGATTGATAAGCTACTCTGGGCCCTCGTCGAGCACAAAACCATTATAATTATCTACAATCACTCCAAAAACTTCTGCGTCGTACGAAACTACAAATCAATCGAAGATTCTCAGAATAAAGTGTCTATAAATTTCGTTTTTTTCGGAAATTCTTAGAAAAAGTTGTACTTTACAGAGGTTTGAGAATAATTCTTGACGCAGATAATCTCCGAATATTAACTAGACGTGGAATTAACGTCCAATCGAGCTCTGGTCACTTGAGCCTCAGCACAAATGTTGAGAACTTCGCATAAAAAACTACCAGTTAAAATCATAAGTTGATGTGCAATGTATGTATGTACGTATTAATTTCGTATCAGGCATAAGCCCTACACCCAAGAGGCATGATACAGGTGTGTGATCCCTGAGGACTCACTACTACATGTGTGTCCAGATTTCTAGGCCGAGTAAGTACATGAAAGAAGAGATAAATAAAATGCATAGACAAAAAACCGCCCTGCGCCTTGCCCACTTTCATATCAAATTGCTAAAAGATTTTAGTCTCTCAAGATAGATTAACCCTCTCGGCGTGAAAATTGCCCTCCGTAACATCTCGTCACGGTTATGTACTTAAAGTATTCCTCCCATGCGTTCCTGCCAAAATAATCCGTCATATTGGTGGTTGTTCACGTCTAGATATTGTGACAGCCTTAGCTTAGGCCCTTGATGCCACATGATATTGAACGCAGGATAGGCAACACTAATAGCCGCACGTCTGTTACTGTATATAGATAATTGGTGCTCGAGCAGTATTCTTTCCTCAGGTAAGATTCATCCGAATATAATTTATTTTTCAAGCACAACTCGCCAAGGTGCATTTAAGAAGGCCCGTCTCAGATATTCTCTATTGTTGCAGAGCCATTCGGCACTCTACAAATTACTTATACCATTTATTCTGTTTAATACTTAACGTCTAACTTATGATCATATTACATCAGTACTGAATTGACAAGGACTCTAGAGCTTACTGCTCTGGAAACCGAGAGCACTCAGCTTCCCCAAACTAAAGAACAAGGGGCCCGAGATGATATACAGTGTCATATGACTTAAAAATTCACGCTGTCTACTGAAATTTATGTTACCTAGAGGGGATGAGGGCCAGTCATAGTGGGAAGAATATCCTCCCGTCATACTAAAATTAAATGAGAGGAAAGAAAGGAAATATGGGCCCATAAGCTCTCTCTTTTTTTGCATAGAACTGCTGCTAAGCGTCATTTATTGTTACGGACTGCTACCTCATTTATCTGGAACCAGAGTTTATCCGGCTCCCAAAAGATGTTTTCCCTAAGTTGGTTAAGATCATGTAATTGCTTGTATAGAGTCCATAAGGCGAGGCGACGCGTAGTCTTTATACTCTGGTAAGTCCCAGGTAGATAATTTTCCCTTTCGATAAAAAATAAATATCATTTTCGACATATATTTGCGAGAAGCTGACGTACCGTCCCATAACATTTATTGATGTATCCGGAGGAATTCGGGGACAAATTTTGGTGAAAAACTGTGATTTTTCAAGCCATTGTACGAGTTTTGAAGATCCAATGGAGTTCCCAAGAACTTCATTATGTCTGAACAGCCCCTAGGTGGTTTGAGGGGACTTAATATGAACAATCCACAGTGCAGGAAATATGTAGGGATTTGAAAGAGTAGGCTGAGCTGGAATGATGCACCGTTAGGATGAAGGTATTGTCGGGTAACTGGGAGCCTGACCTGTGACAGGCGAAGTATAAATAATAAAAGCACAAGATAACTCAGTAAAAACAATTTTATTCCTGTTTCTCCCGGAATTCTAGGGCTACAAACACTGATCATGATTGACTTGATCTCTTGATCTCTAAATGTAGATATGCGCTAGGAATAGAATAACCTGCGGGAGGGCAAGACTGAGCACCTGTACGCGGTGTCCTCTACGAACCTGGGAGTGAAATATTCTCCCAGAGCCAAGTTCAGTCAAATTTCGCAATATCAAAAAAGTTGGCCCACGAGGCAAAAATTCAAATTACTCCACCATGTCAATCTTTCACTCCTAAAGAGTCCGATACTCAACTAAGCTTCATCAAGTCTACAAGTACGATATAGTACATCCTTGTTTCAATGACCACACCTCTCGTCGACTTTCTCTGGCCTCAGCCGGTCACCAAATACACGCCCACGCCGAATTTTACACCCGCAGGAGGAAGCAAAGCGTGGCGCACAAATCTGGGAGATAGTTCTTTGGGATGGACGTGAGAGGGATCGGGACAAGTTTACAAGATGATGCAGAAGAGGGATACATTCTCGAAGGGCGTGAGATTCCGAATTTTGGCAAGGAGTTTTACGAATTGAGCTTTGCGCGCCAAGACTTCGCTTTCGAGAGTGCAGCTGACACTATAAAAACAAGCAAACGATGGAAGGTGTTGTGGTCCACCTCCTGGTGATGTTCTCTGGTATAGTTTGAGTAGCCTGGGCACCTACTCCACTTGGGAAGGAGACATCTCAGATTACATTTCGCGCGGAGAGAAGTTGAATGATGATGGAGGCATGTCTGGATAACTCAGGGTTTTTGAGACGTTCCCCTGGGTGGGTATTCACGGATGAGGGTTGACTTGGGGTGAAGAAAAAGCCACCATAACTTCGCAGTGGTACTTGCAAATGAAATCCGAGGCATGAGTGCTCCTCTTGTAAATTGAGTCATCTTTTCTGTACTTTTCTCTGATATTGTGTCATAGCTAGATAGCTGCATACGCAATTAAAATCTGATGCAAAAAAAAAAAAAAAAAGAATAACCTGCGGTTCCAAGTACAGAATGCAAGCACTGATCGAAGCAAACAACCCACGTACGCATGGACACTCCCTATTTGTGAACCGAGACGTTTTCCTATCCAACTTCTTCGGTAGTCATTCTTAGCCTTCGACAGATATGGAGGTAGGTAGATATGACTTTCCGAGAAGTGAGGTTCGTGAGTTATACTTTTAGGACTTGCATCAATGGACGAACTTATACATATATGCATACTGGGAATGGCCCTCACTGTCTATGAGAACACAAGTTGAATTGACCAGAAAAAATACTTCAATGTAGCTAGACTCTATCACATAGATTCTAGAGGTCCTCTATAGTCATAGACTCAGATAAGACTATTAAATAAATCTAATCTAAATCTACTCTAATCGACGAACTTGAGGATATTGTCAAGGGATGGAGTGGATTGCGGTATTGTATGATCGCGTGCTATCACGCGTCTGATGCACGATTCACGATTCACGATTCACGATGTATATGTATTTATTAGACTCGATAGGAGTAACCTTTCTTCATTGTCGATAATCTCAATCGCCAGATTAGACTTTTTCAATCCATCCTGTGACCTTTACCCTGACACCATGTAACCCAGCTCTACGAGAAATGTGGTTGTGTTTTGCCGGACTTGAACCAGCGATCTCCTGTCTCAAGTGGGATGTGCGTCCTGGCTATCCAGGCTCTACTTAGAAGACGGGCCAAGACAATGTACCACCGCACCATCCAGCCACAACAGTGTTTATTGCGTCGCCTGCACTCCGACCTTGAGCTACTCATTCGTCCTCTGTAAATGGCCTGCGTCTCTCACACCACTCGGATAAGATTATAGCAATTACTATACCTACAACTTCGTCATAAATTTTGTGAGGCTGATGACCCTGTAGATTTTAATTTCGGCTATAGTTAACTTAATCTAGATTCCGTATATTTATTTATATTTTTCTTGCATGTTATCGGGTGAAGTCCAAGACAAGAAGGTTGAAAAACTAGTGCTACTAATCTATCTGGTTCCCATAATTAGAGTAACATTGTGGTTGATTAAACGATTCCTTTTGACTTTGTAAATTCTTCTATCGCACAACATAGGCCCTATATCGCTTTCTTCTATCGAGTCAGTCAGTTGACTCGAATGACGCAAATCCTTGAAATTGTCAAACAAGTTCAATCAGTTTATACCCGAGCTTCGCTTACGACTTAATTAAGACCCATCTCCAATATTGTTCTCCCCATATAAACCGCCCAATCCCTTCAAAACATGAGTACTCTTCTTGTAAATTGAGTCGTATTTTCTGTACTTTTCTATGATATTGTGTCATAGCGAGATAGCTGCATACGCAATTAAAATCTGATGCATAAAAAAATCCCTTCAAAGTTGGCATCTACAGTGGCGACTTTCAGCTCGCACGCCTCCAATATCCACATATCAAATGGCTTCGTAAACAGAGCTGGGCCTCCGAGCTAAGTTTCTTCTAGCAGGATTTCCTCTGTCCGGCAAAAGAGGATAAATACTTTGGTCTACCTTAACATAACTGGGGAAATAACTGCCTGAACAGGACATGCTGAAGCTGTTGAAATTTCTCTCTTGATATCGACTCGTACAGATATACTGTATAACAGCGACTCATATTAATACTTAGGATTGCGATGGATAGAAGAGATTGATGGTGTTTATGGCAGTGCGGGGTTTGGTAATCGTGGACAGGGATAAGACGCGAGCACATATATATATATATCGTGCACTTGACTCTTCTTTAATATGATGATGCTTCCGACTACATTCACACTGCCCATACCTACTCTGGGCTAATCACATCTTTACACGTGGGGTTTAGCTTCTAAATAACGTCTTTTCGACTTTTTATCTTAAATGACAGGTCATGATATTCTTCGTCTTGCTGGCCATCATAAAGCTCAGAGTTATGGACAGATTAAATCTTTTATAGAAGTGGCTGATAACCGCTTACCATCTTGTCATACTCTGCTTCCTCACCCGGTATATTCGAGCCCATATTTGCCCGATTATTTTGACACTCTTGTCCTTGAGCTACAGTGAGTCGGACTACGTGTTAGCCTCACCCTAAAGGAGTTTAAGCCTCGACTGTCGCTAGGCACTGATGCCACGTAGAATTCCATGGATAAAGACTGAGCTAAATGTCTATTCACCAAGGGCAGTATATCAATGATCTTTCAAGAAATATGAGAGGCATGGAGCGCTGTACAAGATATGGCCTGGGCTAGAGAGGAGCCCAATGTGATAGATAATCTATGACTCAAGTAGTACAATAAACATAGACACACACTGATGCCACGTATGCCGTCGCTTCTTGTACAAGTATTTCCGCGTACACTAGTTGATAATTGAATGACAGCGAAGGAAATCTACTCGTACTTCTCAAAGTGGAAAGCTGAAGTCAGCAAGTTAAACATGCGACGGCACTATCAGTTGCCTTTTGTGGTATAGTATAGTATTTATTATTATTATTATTATTATTAATTCATTTTATTGTCCTGTCTGAGTCTATGACTATTAGTATAGTATTATTTGTTTGAATTTTGAATTTGATTTCAATTAACCCGATCAGGCACCCTATGGCTCTATGCAGGTGACTATCTGCATTATTTACAAAGGAGGAAACCAGTTTGATGCAAACCCCCTGATCCTGTATTTTTATATTCCTATCAATTTATTTGGTTTACCCTCAGGAAGTGCAGTGTACACTGTTCAGCCCGTGTGGATTCCGTCCTCTCCCCTTCCAGATCTATTTACTTTATCCGACATTGTTACCTCGACTTCCCCTGCAAGTCGAAACTGTTTTATCCACCCTTTGTTTAGTATCCACTGTGTAATTCTGGGCTGTTTATCATTGCTTCAAATGACCTGTCTTTAGCTTGTCGGAGAAAGTCGCCTCTTCCATTTGCCCACTGCGGATATGCCAACACCGTATGCTTGACGTTTTGCGACGGATATCCACATTGACAGCTTGGCTTTTCTACTCCGAGGACTTTTCTTCTGCTCAGGTAAGAATTGGGTCCGATATGCTCGCTCCTTAGCTGAATGGCGACACTGCTTTGGGCCCTGGTTAGGAGTATTATTTGTTTGTTAATTATTTTACGTCCGGCGGGTACCGAGTTGAGGCTCGGTGCCCTGCTACCTCCTAAACTAGCCAGAGGGATGGACGCCAGTACTTACTGCATTGGAGGCTTCGCACCTGTACACACCTACTTTGGGTACAGGGCTTTATGGAATTACGCGCGCCACGTGATTTAACCCCCACGGTCCATGCTAAAGGGTGTCTTTGTGGTATGGTAATGCTAGTACTAGTTTGTAAGTAAACGCCTAATACGAATTGGTATCACGTGTTGTGTCTGATATCATGAGAAGTAGAATGCAGCTAAGCTGAGATACAGCCTCACGCTAACGAGGTTAGGCTTAGACCCATTCTTGTTAGACATTAAATTAGGAATAGACATATTCTCAACGGATTCCGCGACATGCCATGATAAAACACCAGTCGCTGTATGTCTACACAACGCCCGAAATTATCGATCTGAATACGGTGAGTCCGCTTAGCTAGTATTAGCAGACGGAAAGAGGAAGCATTTTAACGTAGTACAGCTCTTGGCCAGACGGCAATATTAAGCTTGACATGCTTCAGGCTTAATGAATAGATCACGTCGTGCTTCTTGGAGGCCATGTCAGTGGACCATAAGATATGTATAGAACTGCAAGTCAATTGATTTCGAAAAAGAAGGTGAAATGAATAGACGAGATGTGTCCATTATGTACTCCGATTGTAGAACAAGTGGACATAGGTCCGTGCGTAAAATGTACGAAGATGAATTTATGTTATCTTTGGTCGTAATTAATTGATTTGTCTTCGAAAGTTTGGCCAACAAATCTTAATTAATTTTCCAAAATCATAACAGTCGAATTCCGACTTCGATAGCATGCTCGCTTTAGATTCCCCATGCAGCGAGTTACACTCGTTCGGTATAATCATTGATTGATCCAGCAGGCCGATAAGATTTTTTAACCATAGCAAGTGTATCCGCACGTTGCACTGCGCTAGCTCCATGTTCGCTCCAGTGATTCATTACAACAAAGCTCTTTCGAATTACAAGGTGGAGATCTACATGGAAGCTCGGAGGGATACAGAATCTATTTGGCATACTAGTTAGCTCAAGAGAAGCCCTAGCACGTCAAAGTTTGTTTAATGAAACTGCCTCCTAATAGGTCGGTTTGTTTTGTTTGTTCTATGTGACGTTTACTCTAACAGGTCTTCTGTACTGTTTTTCGACCGCACCCAGTGTACTTCTTATTTTATCACGTCCTGCCGCAAATATCACGTCATGCCGCTGTTTTATCACTCCGCCCCTATTACCCTCCCCTGCACTCTCATAATCTCTAAGATCTCACCGCGTCATACCATCTATCGGCACTAACTAGCATATTACGAGGAAGTCAGGAAGGTGATATTCAAACCCCGAAGCTTTTCCTTTAAATCTCAGTTCTCCCTACAGGTCGCTGCTCAGTCTTCCAAATTCTTTTATTCGTGGCATCCACTTCAAGCCTTTATGACCATTATCTGCCTACCAAAAAACTGACCTACCGTTCCACCCTACCCTTGCCATGGCTGCCGCGAACCCAAAGGCTGATCTCATTGATATCGCCATACCCCAAGTGCCCGTTACCAAGCATCGTCAACCTTTTATTCAAGAGCCAGGAGATATAAAGTTAAAACAAGCAGGTATACTCAACGTCGTATTTAATCTCACGTACAAGGCTAATCCTTTCTGAGGTACTGCCAGAGCCAATGAAGCCGCCTCTGTAGAAGCACCCCGTGGATCCCAAGGTCCATACTTTGATTGTCACAGGCATCAAACTGTTCTACAACAACACGTCGCCTTCTTTGATACAGACAATGATGGTGTCATTTGGCCCCTTGACACTTTTTACAATTTTCGTCGCCTGGATTTCAATCTGTTCCTAAGCATTTTTTCCATGTTTGTGATCCATTTTGCCTTTTCTTATCCGACACTTCCTGGGTACTTTCCCGATCCTTTTTTTCGCATTTATGTAAAACGAATCCATAGGGATAAGCACGGAAGTGACTCAGGTTCATATGATGCAGAGGGCAGATTTGAGCCTCAAAAGTTTGAAGACATATTTGCCAAGTATGCTACTGGTGATAAGCAAGGAATTACTTTTGGCCAAATTATACAATATATAAGAGGACAGAGAGTTGTTGCAGATCCATTTGGATGGTTCGCTGCCGTGTTCGAATGTCAGTATATAATACTCCCAGATACTTTACTTAAGTCTAAAGCTAACCGAATTAGGGACGGCAACCTATATTTTGCTCTGGCCTGCGGATGGTAGAATGATGAAAGAAGATATCAGACGAGTTTACGATGGAAGTATCTTTTACGAGATTGCCTCTCATAGATCCAAACCGCATTGATACAGCCAGATTAATGGTATTAATATAAGCACATTATGTTGTAGTCTTAGACTTGCGTAGGATGTATACAGGAAAAAAAGCATTTCTCGTCAAAAAAGTATCTGGGTTTGGAAACATCTCAAAAATTTGGATGCAAACTTTGACTAGGATTTTCAATCTAGCGACAACGTAGATTAAATATCCATATCATCCATAATTTACCAGCGTATATCATCTATGATTTTGATTTCATTTAAGTCAATGTGACGTCCCACAGACCTTTGCAGGTGGCAATAACTTACATGTTTATGCTTACACAGGAAACATTTCGGCGAAAGCGTACGAAGTAAGTGGTACATATTAAAGGTTACCCTATTTTTCTTTCGGGAATCACGTTTAAAGTGTAGTGCCGGTTTTTTCTGCCAATCACATGTCTCTGTCCTTCAGTCAACAGGATTCGACTCCCTTTTCATTAGTAATTTATCCAACTAAGCATGATTCAAGATCACTATCGCAATCTTTGCGATATCACTATGATTATTTGTCATTGCTGCGAAAGATTATGTTTGGGCCATTTTCAAATCATCCAATTATTTTGAGGATCTCGAATCCGTTAAATTCTCGATTAAATTGTCATGTATAATCACGAGGTTCGAAAATGGTAGAGAGGCAGCCTCGGGAATGTAAGATAGATTGGCTATGGAAGGAGAAATAGGAGTAACTACAGCGAGTTTTATATACATGGAGTTTATTTATTAATTCATTTTATTGTCCTGTCTGAGTCTATGACTATCTAGGACATGCAGATCCTCTCTGCCTACAGGCCAAGGATACCTATACCAGTAGTTTATCCCCTCCTATGCCTCCCATACAGCTCCCCTCAAATAGTACCGCCCCTCACAAGTCCTCATTCGATCATACACTTAGAGGAGCCCTTTGCCCTTCATTATCTCCCCTCTCCAGCCAACGAAACGATGGCCATTTGCGGGCGTATGGCAGCCGGGAAAAATCGCAAAAAACCACTGGGTGCGGAGCTCTCCTAATACTGACATTAGGTATAAATCCGAAGACAAAGTGACCCTTCTGATGCGTTCGAAGAGGCCGGCCAGCTTGGCGCTGCAGACTTGAGGGCAGCTCGGAGAATTCACACTCTGCCTTTCTAGCCTCCTTCCAACTCCTTCCCGAAGGTCGTGCTGAAATGTCAGAAAAGTCTTGACAGAGCGTGATTTTTGTATGATAGCTTAGCTTATCTTCTTTTGTGCCGTCCAGGGCGCTGGGGAGTGCCGTTGACTCATCGGCAAAAGAAGCCCTCCTGGCTAATTAGTCGAAATCTTAGTCTTGGTGCCCACACAAAATCCAAAGTTGAAAACTCCTCGAAAATATCAGTCCCAGCATGGTCTTCAGAGACCCCTTTCCCCTCTCACTCCGCATCTCAGCCGCCTGTCATTCTTCAAGATGTATTACCCCATTAGAGTAACAGTCCCCCACAAGCCAAGACCCAGGCTTTGTGTTTTTCGACTTGATTTCCTCCTTGCGGGTATAAATAGCGTCGTAAACATGTAATGAGAGATGGCTGGAGATTAATGGGGCAAGCTCCTGTATGCAATTGGAGCAACTTCTTATTGGTCGTCGAGGCGAGATGATGCGTGGTTAGAAAGAGGTTGAGGACTCAGATGAGAATGATAAGAGAGGCATTGTTGAGAAGTTGTCAAATGGAGATGTGTATGAGGTTACTTTCGACTTCGATTCGGATGCGATTCTTCTTGGCTATCCCAGATATGCAGAGCATACTGGGCGATTACACCGGTACCACTAGAAGGTGAAGAATTCGATTTTGCCGGCTACATTTGTATATTAAAGTGCTCAAGATATTGACACCCTCCGCTCTCATAAGGGAACCTAAGCACGGTTAGAGTCGGGCTAGATCAGGCTAACTTCCCTTAAATATAGATTATAGAATGTTAACAATCTCTAGCAAGTTGTAATGATTATGTAACAATATTCACGTCAGAATTCGGGTGCAAGTGAAATTCTGTGATTGAATTTAATTATTTTAGGGTCCTAAGCTATGCTCTATATCTCCTAGGAGTCAAAGACCGGTGTACACGGCCGAGATCATGCTTTCCGCATGCCCACCTCGGTTTCACCGCGTGAACCACTACACAACCAGTAGCTAGTTAAAAGAAAGAAAAATAGGAAATCCCGTAAACTCCCATAGCTAAAGTTCCAAGCCCAGTAATCCAGTTTGTGGTTAGAAAAACGACACTTCTCGTCTCTTTTTCCTACCTGCCATGCATTGTGCTATTGTGACGGCTTGTAAGCCGGTAATTGCCTGTAGCCTGCGCTGTCTAACGCAGGCTTAGCATGAAACAAGGAGGGCCTTATAAGTGGCAATAATAATACTGTAACACGTCCGGGGATGGGGCACGAGAATGTGATACGAGTAGGGGATATGAGTAGGGAATACGGATATACGGATACAAATCTGTGTCATTGGCTGGGATAATAATCATGTATAAAGTAACTGTTATTATCCTTTTCAATCTGTAGTTCACCATAGATTGAAATTAAAACTACCTCTGACCATAAGGTTGCCCAAGTGCCTATGCTTAGACTGTGACAGCTATGACTAGTTACCACCGTCTCCGCTGAGAGCTAGAGACGGATCTGTAGGTGGGCCCTCGAAGCAGCCGGTTTCCTGCGCAAAATTTGTTAAGTTCTCGAGGCACTTAGTGTTGTGAATACCTCGGGTCAGCTCCGATCGAGCCTCATTGGGCTCCCACCATCGCGGCACTCGGACACTCGGCCGCAGTAAGCTAGATGAGATTAGGGCACTGGCAGCACAGCTAAGTACCTAATCACTCTGGCAACATCCCTACATCCGAGCGTTGCCTGGTGGACCAATGTGTTTAGACTGAGGCGCACATCACTCTGATGGCTACCGAGGGGCAACAGCATATAATGTGATGACGGTGTATAGCTCTGCAATCCCGGGAGTTCCACACTAGCAACCAGTGTCAATAGTATGTTGTGACAGGAGATATTGGTAGGGGCCATGGAAGCGGTTACTGTGACAGAAGTAGGAAGCACCTGTGGTGAGTGCGTGATCAGGACTGGGGTACTGAATGTATATATAAGGAAGCAATACTTCCTCAGATAGATTGTAAATCAACCATCTCACTACTGTCCATTCCAACGCTTCTTCTCACTACAGCCATATCAATTATATCCGCGCACCCATAATCATTTGCATCCATTTCAGGTATTCCTCTGTCCCCTCATGACCTCGTTATTATAACACTTAGGCCCGAGAAACTTGTGGACAAAGTCGTGATGTGACATTGTCCCTCGTAGTCGACGCGTTTGGCGTGCGTCTAGTCGACAGTGAATGAAATGGAGAGGTGATGTTTACTCCCCACACGCACACTCCATTGAAGCTGCGAAGTTGTTGAAACAGAGGTGACATACCGCGAAGTTTCTATGGCCCGTACGGGCTGAGATCAGTTCACGGAGTAGCCGCAAGGAAAGTGCCTGCTTGCGTGGCTTGCGTCGTCGCATGAGAAGACCCAAATTTCGATACCTAGATGGACATACTTCTTCCCACCAGTTGTCGAGAAGCACTTGATGTTTCCGGTTCATGAGCCGACGAACGTACGCCATTGTGACGGAGCCAGGCTGGCTGTCTTTGCTTGGCAGTTGTCGGAGGCCGGAGCGTGCAGCTCTGTCTGCATCTTTGTTTCCCTGTATCCCGGAGTGGGCTGGTATCCACTTGACCGAGACTAGAGCCTTTTTTGATAGCGCCCTAAATTGGCGTACGTCGTCTAGGCTTGTTGTGGCAATTCCCGTCAACAGTGCCTTCACTGCAGACTAACTATCTGTTAATACATTGATCTGCTGCCTGCCGTCCCTTCCCCCATTCTCCATCTCCAACAATCCCAGCGCAGCTTCCAGGGCCTTCCTCGCCCCTATCATTTCCGCATCAAGCATTTCACCACCATGCTTGATGCCACATTGCTTCAACAGAGTTTTTCCATCCCTCTTCAAGACGAAACCCCATGCTGAGCGACCATGCCCCTCCGACAATCCATCTGGGTAGGCGCAAATATCTGATGCCGGTACATTATCAATGAACCGAGTTGCCTTCTCTTCCTCCTCTAACCTTGAGCCGAAACCCAAAAGATAGCATGGCGGCGGTAAAGGCTCGGCATTTTCCGCGTCCGGGAGTTGTCGGTAAGCCCGCTGGACTCGTGACATCTGGAACTCTGGATTTTTATAGACCCGAGCATATTTCTTGTACTTCTGTGTTCCATCTCTTGGACACTTGGCAGCACGGGTCCGGAGCGGGTGGCGATTGTCTAGTGAGTGTAGCCGAGCCGAAAGCCGTAGTTGGTTCCCTTCCAGAATGATCTTCCCTGTTGGGATACCTCCTTCTCGATGGAGAACAAGATTCGGTGTCGTTCTCATTACTTGGAGGGCAGCGTGCAGTCCTGTCAAGATTGCCTTGTCAATTATCTCAAAGAAAATGCTGGTACGAGGGGTGCTGATCCCCTTTTGGGTCAGACGTTTGAGGCCGGGCCACCAAACATCTGCTCCAAAGGTTGCTATGGGGACAATGCACGTATCCACCGCTCGAACCAGTGCTGCAGGGGCGGCTCCTCAATACGCTGAATTGAAGCGTCGCATTTGCTGAGCAACCTTCAGAGCTTTGCCGCACCACGTTTTCATGGAAAAACGTGGCGGAAACTACGATGGTGTCTCATGCGGAGTTCCATTCTAAAACACAACTCGGGGTTAGATCAAGTTCTCAAACAATTAGGACAGGCTCAGGAACATAGGGTCGTTTCATAGGGATTGCGTAGTAATACTGTTCGAGACAGAGCTTAGGGCTGTCCTATTATCTGATGTACATATATACCCAGCGTGAAGGAGTATTCTTCTTCACGCAACGTCTTCTGTTTATACTCATACCTATTGTTCACTTACTTATCTCTTCTCTGAAGAAGACCGCCGTTATTGTACCC